TGTCGTGTTTTATTTTTTTATACCTTCTGTAATGTCGGGACGATTGTGTAGCAAGCAGGACGAGAGTAACTGGGACTAGCCTAGGTGATTATTAGGGGATTAACATAAAATAAAAAAGGATCGTACGAGAAAAGCAGGGCGGTGAAAAACGACAGTCGAGGAGAACGTTACTGTTTGTTGTGTTAGTTCTTTCGCTTGATTAAAGTGGTGTGCAACATTGTCACTTTTTGTACCTTAGATCCTTTTTTTTTTACCAAACCCTACCAGTTTTTGGAATATACGAATTTCCTCTGGATTTGACTTTAAGTAGTTAACAGCCAAATTTAAAATGTTATTACGTACTTTGATGGATGAATGAACGAAGGACATTGGCGTCAAGACATCAATTTTATTCATTGAAATATTTAGCCTATAATTGCCATCTTTCTCTCTCCGCCGCTCTCCATTTCTTGTTCTACTTCTTTTACAAACCTACTAATCCGCATGAAAACTATTTCTACGATTTTAGCCATCTATCCAGCAAACCTAATTTAAGAATTTGTGTACTCAGTATAGTCCATGATTTTGATACGACACCAGTTTGCATAGACATTAATAATATCGACTGTACCGTGAACGGAGGACAACTGATAACAAATATTAATTGAACTGTGTAGAGCGTAATTTGGTCGGAAATCATATGCGTGATTTCTAAAGTGATTGAGCGCACAACGCGAGTCTGATTTGAAATCAGAAGTATGATTTCCGACCATAATTGAACGACTCGAAATTTAATTACCATTTTACTAGATCCATTTTGAAATCGCAATACAGGGTTTTTTAGCCTGTTAACAATATTTTACTGACCCAGCACTGAGCTGGTTTTAAAAATGTTGCAAACGTTTCCTTAATTTTACCACAATTTGATAAGAATGGCACGATTCGGGATAAATCGCACCAATCAGATTGCAAGGATCGCCGATGATTTTAAAATGACATAAAAAATTGATAGCCCATGATGATGCTGATACAAATATAATCATTTTATCAAATTTCAGTTGATCCAGAAGTTACAATTGATGGTGATAAAGAGGAGATTGTGGCCAAGGGCGACGATATCAAGATAACTTGTCGGCATAAGGCTCTACCTCCTGCGTCTGAGTTGCAGTGGATAAAAGATGGAACGGTGATTTCGACAAATTCTACAATAGTGATCAATAACCCCCGCCTGAGTATTCCGCACTTCAATGAAACCCTCATACAGCTGTTAATCAATACATCCATCTTAGCGGATAGTGGGAATTACACCTGCAATGTCACAAATGACGCAAATAGTACATCGGACTCCAAATCAATAATCATTGAAGGTGTGTAAGAGTTGTTTTTATGCACTGCGTTTATTCATAGTGTTTCGATCTGTTCGTATTGGCCTTGGAAAGACCACTAAGGGTAGTGACATTTAAGAATGCATGAACGTTAATAGGACTCTATTACTAAAATAAAAACTGAGGTATCCGGGACAAATGCATGGGAAAAGGGCTGTAGAAATGGATTACGATGAGTTGGAGGTAATAGCCTGGGAAACAACGTTAACTTCTCAAGTATTAAAGTGGATGCTAAATATAGAGCAAACAATTTTTACCACGTATTTCTATCCATGAGGAGCAGAGAACTAAACACTGAGAAAAATTGTTATATCATTGGCGACGCCACTTACGGAGAAAAAGCATAATCTTTATTTGCACTATTCGAATTTCCGCAAAAATACAATTGATGCAAACCTTGAATATGGAAATGATTCATTCATAGGCCGAAACTAGAATGTATTCGTATAGTATTCATAGGAAGATAACTGGCTTGTTATTTCAATTTTATTTTACATCAATTTTTCTGTTTTAAACAATCTCACTTGGTTCGTCTTCGGGTATTTTTGCGAGTCCTTCGTGAAAATATAGATTATAGTGCCGGCATAGGAGATCTTAGATTATTTTGATCAAGGTCGCTCATTATCGCTGGTGGCAAAAACTGTAAATCATATTCTCGTATTTATGTTAAAAGATGAAAGAATTAGCTCAGATTAAAAAAAAACCTTCTAGTCTTTCGCACAAGTAAAAACTCTTATTGTGATGAATACAAAAAATGACAAGGACTTTGAGCTATTCAAAGTCATAGGCCTGTAGCCTTCGAAATTCGCTATCGTGAGGTAATTAGTGCGTGACAGTTTTGTTTTCTAATTCCCAGATGCATCTGGAATCTTGGAAAATCCAAAGAATGCCATCATAGTTGAAGGAGAAGAAGCTGGATTTAGTTGTGTGTTAGATGGAAATCCTTCACCAAAAGTTACTTGGACGAAGAATGAGGAAAAACTTAATATAACACATCTGCGACTAACAGCGTCGTCGCAGAACAACAAGCACAGTTTAACAATCACAAATGTTTACCAATCGCATTCAGGACAATACATGTGTGTGGCTTTTAATAATTTTCCCAACTTGACTTCATCTCCATGGACTTTAACAGTGCAATGTAAGTAGCTAATAAAACTTCCTTATTTTAAAAAACTTTACAATCGGCGTGGATCAGTTTTTTTTCTTTAAACGTAATTGTGTTGGTATTTTAACCTCTTAGCTTCAAGGAAGACACAAAAGAGTCGCTATTTTTGACGTCACGTTCTCGAACTCTCTTTATGTTGATATTGCTTTTGTAACCTTAGTAATGATTAACAGAGCTTAGCTATTTTTTCAGGGCCGATTCTTTCTTCTACCTCCTTAAAGAGTAAAATCCCCTGAACATTGCGACTTGCGGAAGTCCAAAGCGGTCTTTTTAGAAGGAGGAAATACAATGTTGGGCTTGTATGGAAATCAATATAGGAGACTGACACGCTTATTATGACTTATTTTAAGGTTGTGACATCATCGACCGCAGCATAAATTACCAATAGCTCCGCTCAGGGGAGTAGGGTACGATCATATATTCTAAACAGCGGCTTCCACCAAACTATGCTTGTTAACTATGGACGAATTTCTTGCCGGAATTGTTACGTCCAGAGAACGTTTCTGCCATTGGTTCTTAGTCATTCTGCTGTCAGTGTCATATTCATCGGTCCAAGGAGGTAAAAGTAATTTTTCATCACTCGAAGTTAGAAGTTCTTATAAGATTTTAGAGCGGAAATCAACGACGTTTACTCCACCCATTCTTTATACGAGATGTTTGCTCCGGCCACGAATTGAATTTTCACGTTAAACACTAAGTGTAATGAGACTGAATTCTCTCGAGTACGAGTGAAGAAGCTTCATAAGATGAATTTGTTGAAATGCAATGTTTCAGTCGATTTTCTCAAGCGCAATATTTGAATATTGTAACTTCGAATGTTTCATTTTGTCCTGTGTGATTATGGCTTCAATGTAAATCTGCGACTGCAAATTTTAATCGAATTCATTGCTCTTAATTTCTCACCAAAGGTAAACTTTGTTTAAAGTACCGAGAAAATGTTTTGAAAGTTACGCAAACTTTAATGAATACAAGCTTATTTTACGTACAGGTGCCAGTTAAACACTTATTATGACTCGAAAGTATTCTGAATATTTTTGAACTATTTAATATGTGAGCTTCCTCTTGATGTGATTCTTACATGTTTTCCGCGGAGAATTAACCTCGATGGGACGGGACTGGTGTTTGTGTTTTTAGAAAATATCGGTTGCCATCAAGCGTTAGTGTTTGGAAACAATGATATTTAGCAGCTGGGTTATTTTTGTTTATAAACGACCTTGGAACACGCAATGCACATCAGAACTGTGTCTTGTTCACAGTTACATTATCAAGCTCAGCAAGTCATTATCTCTACTTTTGCTTCCTCTCTTCCTTAGGAGTTAGATTTTATAGCTACACCCATACCCTTTAATAGCCTGCGAACAGGCTCCTGAATTGGAGGAGTACAACGGTGCGAAGCAGGGGAATGGGAGCCTGCACGTGTCTTGCTAAATCGCCTTTACCTCCCACAAGAAGCCCGCAGAGAACTTATCTTGTTAACTGTAAAATGTCAACCAATCAGCGCGCGCCGGAAGTCAAAATCTAAAACAGAAAACAAACAAACAAACGAACAGGCTCCAGGCGAGCAAGCGCCATGTCTCACGGAGGCATTTTAACAGCAACTGTTTAATAATGAAACTTTGGGTTTTTCATCTGCAGTCCCCGTGATTGCAAGTATTGGCGTCCCTTAAAAAGATAAAACGAATAAATTCAACTTACCAAAGTAAAGAATGACTATAGCATTTGGTCAGGAAATCAAGTAATGCCATCGAAAGACTCCAAAAATAAGTAAACAGGCACGGCAACACAGACTTAAGCTTTTCGGTGAATGACTATAGAACTTGACTCTCCTTGTTTACAAAAAGATCTGATCAACGACAATTTCCCAAACGCCTCACGGAAAGCAACATTTGCACCGAGTTTTGCCTCAGAGCTGTGAACAATCTTTGAACAATCATTGAACAAGTGACTAACAATCTAGTTAGAAGTAAATCCAATAGGATTCGTTAGAAACATAATATCTTTTTCCACTCCACATCTCAACAGTATGGGACTCATCCACCACAGCTGCGGCTAATTTTCTGTCAAGAGAAGAGCAGTTATCTTTCAGAATGTCGAGGAATCATTTCTCCATAACTGTCTCAGCCGAACCGAAGATTAGCTGAAATTATTGCGGCACGCAACTCGTCTTCCGAGATATCCTCTGTGGAAGCCGCCGGGATACTCATATTTCCGGCCTCAGCAATTTGGTCTTTTATGATGCTTTTCAAAGGACAAATAACCAATACAGTTTGCCGCTCTTCCCCTTCAATCGACGCAGCAACAGCAAAAAGTTGGAAAATAAGACCTTTGCCGTATCCTGTCGGAAGAACCGTGAGCACATCATCTTTCTTAAGTAAATAGTCTACAGCATTACGCTGTTCGGGCTTCAATTGCAACGTAAACTTCAAATTATTTGATAAATGGTCACAAGCCTCCCGAAGAACAGCATCCCTTCTTTCCGCCATTTTAATTTTTTGTCTCTATCGCAACTGAAAACTAAGACTACGTCATGAAAAATTAAAATCAACCAATCAGCGCTTTGCGTCCAAATTTTGGACGCAGACATTCGATACTCTGAGACTTGTGTAGAGTTTAATATGTCTATCTAAACCACGGATTAAACCGGATTACACCGCGGTCCTTAACCCTCCGACTCCCGTAATCTCTTCTCCTCGTTCCTATCCTATAATAGTCTTTCATATATCCCGGCATACACAACAAACCCTCTTCTCCTAAGGACGAATCTATCGTTTCGCCGGCATAAACCTGTAGCTACTGCAATACGTTCTTGACAACAAAAATATCTGCCAAAGCACTTTTGGCCATTTTTAATTTGATTTTCATGATCGAAAACGTCATCAGATGTGGAAAAAATGTCACTGGTCACAGGTTAACCAGATTTAACGTAGGCTTTTCATGCTTTCATTTCATTCAGAATATGGCAGCATCAACCTTTGGGCTTCAAACTGCTTCTTTTTGTTTCTTTATAGGAGAGAAACAACGAGGATAATGTTTCCATGCTGGAAATTACACCGGGCATCATGAATCAGCTGAGAGATCATAGCCAGCAGATCTCTATAGAAGCGCCAGCGGAAGTGCCAAACTCAGGGGCAGAAGAGGTTGCGGTTGTTGACAATGAGACATATCTAAATCAAATGGAAATTGACAGAAACTGGGAAATTCCTCGAGAAAGACTGGAAATTTTAGAAACGAAACTTGGTGGAGGAGAGTTCGGAGTCGTCAAGAAGGGAAACTATTTGAGAGGAGATGGGAACAAATTACCCGTCGCTGTTAAAATGTTAAAAGGTTAGATACAGTCAAACGCTGTTTCTATTTATGAATTTATTTGGATCTGGTTGTTCTAAAGATGTCACGCTATCCACTAGACAAATCTCAGTACTTTGCACAGCGCAGTAAGTTTTGTCAACCATTATCCACTGGATAGCAATTTATCTATTTGATAGCGTTATCCACCCTTTGGACAGCTGTGCCCAGATGGCTAGAGAAGCCTTCCAAAATAAAGTTACATTATTACCTAGATCTCCCGTAATCTGTCCTTCAAATCATTCGTAATAGTATTGTTAAGGTGGCCAAGACAAAAGAGAAAATAACCGTGCAGGTTTNAGGAAGGATTGGAGCAGGTGCAACAGTTGAGCCCGAGCGTTCTTGTAGAAATAATTGACCGTGCTGTCCGCAATGTTAAGGAAAGGAAAGTTTTTGCAAAAAATTTAAGGATGGAGCTCAGCAATTACTCATACCAACAGCTACAAGAAGACAGCAAAGAATTCTCTGCTATAAAAGCAATCTATGAAGGATATACAAGAAATGGAGATGCAGAAAAGTTTATGGCAAATATTATGCAACAGTTGCTGTAAAGTCAACCCAATTCTTCAGTGGACTTTCTTGGAATGCAGCAACACTACTTGCAACCAAAGATGCTGACTGTTTGCTGGCATACTCTAAGCAACAAAAACACTCTACTGAAAGCAGTCATAATATAAAAACTGTGTTGTCAGTCAATTAAGTCAATTCATCATTGAGGAGATTAATCACATAGCATAAGAGTATATTTTGTATTATAGATACAATTATCTCATGTCAATTGATGAAGATTTTTTAGTGCATGTTCACATAACAATGACAGAAAGGGTACAAAAGTTTGATTATATTGGGAGCATATAAAACAAGAAATGTAATTTATTGAAGATCCATTCCCAAGTTCTTATAATTTATATCACTCGTAACTTGAATGAATTTAATTGTTTTACCAAACCTGAATCAAAGTTTAAAAAAATTCAGAGTTAACATAACATTTATTGTCCTCACTGCAATTGGTGGTACTGATCATAAGGTACTAATTAAGAAATCAAAAAATAATGTGAATTATCAGTCCTATTCCTGCCTTTGTTGGTCATCACCTTGACAACTTTTACTAATTTCCTTGCATAAAGCCCTTGCTTTGGTTTGGGTTGCCTTGATCTTGTAATGCTGAATGACATCCTTGGCAAAAGAGAACGAGTGTACATGTACATACAGACTAACAATCCCATGAAAGACATCCTTACAAACATGACTGTCTGGCTCAAGTTCTGCATCTGATATCATAAAATTGTAGTTAGCAAGGATGTCACTAACACTGGTTGCTTTGTTAGTGATGCTGGAAATATCCAATCTTTGCAAATCAGGCTTTAATGTGAATAGCCTAAAATGACATTCTGTTTTTACTAAAAAAAAAGATTTGCCGTGCAGGCTGAGTGATTGACCAAAGTCCCCCACGATTCAAAGCTGAGACAAGTTTCTGGCTAGAGTCAGTTATGGTCTCCAGTTTCCCAGCTTTCAGTACTGCCATAGCTTCTTGGCTCTCCACTGAGTTAGTTCGTCCATGTTTTTTGTGTAAGTTGTGCAGAACATAACCGCCAAGATATTGCATCCCAGCTTTCTCCTTAACTACAGTTTCAGTTTTTTTCTACGTAGTAACTTAACATCGGTAACTTGTTCCCAGGCTTGTGTCTTGTCCTTTCGGCCCCTTGTGTTGCCACCTTGACAGGACACTGTTCTGTGCATTCTTAGTGTGTTACTGTTATACCCAAATGTTTTTATATCAGGGTTGTCACTGTGTCTACCCAGTTTCCACTGGCCCCCAAAGTACTCCTCTACTGGATCCTGGCAGAACCGTTCTGTGAGGACAAATTCAAACCCTTCCTGGAGCAAAAATTTTGTCACCTTGACAGCAGAATGTACAGATATGCA